GGGATTTTTTAGTTCTTTAGAAACATTTATTTATGCAATTTAAACATACATGTATTTGCCAATACTACTTATCAAATGAAATTAATCTCATGAAAATGAGGATAACTGCTGCAACTACAGCCTCAATTCAGGGCAGAACCCACACTGCAGATGTCTTAAGCCTCATGAAATAGGCTTAATAAAGGCTTAATCAGACACACATAAAATGTTATGCTAACAGAACCAAGCATAAATTGATATTGTGGCTTAGGAACTAAAGCACCCATTATAAATAAAATTCCCCCCTCACCATAGGATTTTTATTCATATGTGATAAAACCAGACACACTATTTATCCATGATAATTAAAAATTAAAAGAAAGATTCTTAACTTCCTGAAAAATCAAATTTCTTGTCCACGCTTTTTCTCCAAGCTATTCTTTCCCATTACTTTATTATTCTACTAAAAAATTCCAGTTTCTCTTTAATTTGTTACTAAACTTCCTCTGGTATTTGATGCTTTTCACAGCTTGTCATAATGGTTGCTCAATCACTTTATAGAAGACAAGATTTTCCGTTTTGTCACTTTCATGACCAAGGCATATTAATACAACAAACTTAACTAGTATTAATTGTATTTCTTGCTGATTAAAAAAAAGGCAAAAAAAAAAAAGCTGACTTTTAATTAGCCTTTTCACTCTTCAGCCTTTTATAATTATTTCTTTATAAATCTGGTAGAGAAATCTAAACTAAGCATATAGAACTTAAATTTAACTTCTTCTCAGTAAGGTCAGGTGATGTAAGGTTGATAAAACACTGGAAACACAAATCCAGTAAATAACATATGCTCATAGTGACAAGAAATTGCCTATTAAACTTAATTCTAAATTAAAGATTGTCCCAATTAAATTAATTTTCCCATTCTCCTTGACAATGACACAAAGCTTAGAATTGCCAAGTCATTAAACGTTCCTTAGGTACTCTGTAATGCTCACGCAGTGATCTTTTGCTGACAGTAACAGCTTATTTTTACTCCAAAATTCCTTCTGCTTCCAAGGAGCAGACAAGCATACGGTATGCAACAAATCCAGCTCCCTGAGAGTATTATGGTCAACCTTAGATTACAACATCATCAACAGCACTATAGTAGGGAGAGAATCCTAAACTCGTAGCCAGGCTTATTGCCACTTCCAGAGGCATGCTTGGGGATATCACCATTCTAGAACTCTTCTTCTATCTTTGGGCTATCATATCTAAAAATGGGAAATAACCCCAAAACATAGGAAACTTATCTTGTGGCATGTACTGTGGTGATCGCCATGAGTATTTTATCTTAATCAGGACAAGTTTAGCACTAATGCCCAGTGCACTTTTAGCACCTGTTCCACTATTCAGGCTTGGTACATCCTTTGGGAAGGTTGTGCTACAATGAAGTTTTAAACAAGGGAGAGACCATATTGCACCTAACGATAAGCACGGTAAGAAACTGTAGAGAAATCCACAGAATCAGTAAGCTTTTGGTCTTTACATCAGGCTGTGTCCTGAAGCATAATACTAAACCATGGTGAAGCCTCATTCTTCACACGGTTGTGATGAGATCTGCGGAGTACATGCTTTAACTGCATCCCTCATCCCCACTAAACCAAACAGTGTAATTAATCTAGGGATTAGTTTTCAAAACCCTACATCATCCCTTTTAGTTTCAGCTGACTTCCATCCAAATTTTATGCCGTTATTCTTTCCCCACTTGTGCAGTATCAGAGTTAATCATTACTAGTAAAGTTATCCAAAGACATATTCAGAGGAGCATCACTTTACAACAGATGAAGAATCCTGGACTGTTAATTACAACTCAGCCCATGAATTAGTAGTCACATTGAGTGAGAAGCTGCTTAGGGACTTGTCCTGCTTAATAAGTCTCATTTTCATATCTGCCCATTTCCCCAGAAACCCATTCTATCATTAAGCATCTCCCAAATAATCTCCCAGATCTAATTCTAATAGATATTTATTACTGAAACATCTTGTTTATTTTAATATGGATTGCATAGCTTATGCTATAATTTAATTTTAAAATGATTTACAATATGTCTTACAGACAAAATGTAACAGATTTCATAAATACACACAAGCCTGGTTTCAAACTAGAACTGGACATCACATGACACTTCAGTGAGCTTTAGCATCAGTGCTGTGCTTATGAACAGGAACCAAGGAATGTCCAAGTCAACAATTGTAAGCTGTCACACTACAGAAGATAATTTTATGGATGCTGTTACAAATTAATTTAGTGTGTATTGTTATCAACTTGGAAAAGAGCACTGATTAAACATATGATTGAAGCCTATAAAAAAAACATGACTAGGAAAGAGAGGATGACCAGAGACTGTTTGACCTCTGGTTCCTTCACTACAAGCTTAAAGTGGGATGCTTTGAAAGAAAGAGGAGATGCTTCTTCACATACCAGACTGGCTGCAGAACTTGCACAGATTACTGAGTGTAAAGTTTACATCTGTTTAGAACAGACTAGATATGGGAAGAAAATCTACCAAGGGTTATTAATACAATTAAAACCATCTGTGACCAGAGAAATTCCTGGATTGCAAAATGCTGGAGGAGAGGAGAGCATTTTCAGGAAGTATCACTATGTCTCTCCTGGTTTTAGACCCTCTCTGGCATATTTGCTTTTGACCCTTGGAGAGAGGCTGTCCAGGGATGGGATGTGGGACTGCTTCAGGACACCATTTGACATAGAGACAATCAAACAGACATACTCTGTATACTCACCCTTTAGTGGCATAAAACATAATAAACCAATTCTATAAAAAATTATGTATGCCAAAAAGTAGTTTCATGGCCTTTGTGGCAATGGGGCTCTGCTTGTGCAGGAAAATCCATTGGCCTTTTCAATGTCCATGGTTTAAATTGCCTGTCTTTACTAGTCAGATCTCTGTGGTGAAACGAGAAAATGGTTATTTCAGAACGGCACTGAAGTCTTCAGTCACCTTAGAGTCATAGCACTGCTGAGTGGGGAGGAAATGTAAATATACATACAAGATAATAATTGGTATTTCAGCCAGCCTATATGCATTTTTCATTAATTCTCAGCATGCTCAATATTCTGTATAAGACCCCCAGTGGCCTCTGGATAACATCCTGTCTGTTATCTCCTCTTTCAGGATACTTATTTTCTTGTGGTTTAAGATTCTCTGCTGATCTTGATTTATATACACTATTTCCCACCAACAGAGGAGCTGCTCTGGTCTATGAGGTTCACACACAGTGTGCTATAATTGATAGAAATTTGCCTCAAACCACAACGTGTCTCTGTTAATTAGTAGGTTTTTCAAAAATTTCTATTGAAGGCTTAACTAACTGTTTGTTTTTATAAACCATGAGATCAGATAACAGATAACAGATGCTGATTTTGCCAATTTTATCCTTCCTGCCATTTGTTACATTGCATATTACTTCTTTCTAAGACCAATCATTGATTCAGCAGCAGAATACTGAGTCCAGTTTTTAACCCTACATTTGCATCATATTAAGGATAGAAATATCTCAAATGCAAAGTAAAATCTCTTTATAGATATCACTAAAATATAAAACCTTCCACTCCAAGCTCTTTACCAATTTCCCAGGAAGAGGCTTATTTTTGAGACACAGTCCTTTTTTTTTCAATTTATGTGAGAAGTTAGATTGCAAGTTCACTCACAGTGAAGACCAAACACCTCTTATTACATGAACCAGAAAACAAATGACTTCAAGAGCTGAACAATCATTCCATGGCTGTACCACACACATAGTGTGGATCATAAATACGTAGACGAAATCCAAAATTTGGAATTTCATGGCAATTACGAAATGGTAACAATTGCATTCTGTCCTGATTTTCAAGTTGTAGTCAAATAAAACAATAGAAATTTACTTTCTGAAGAGTTCCTTCTTCATAGCTTTTTCTCCATAATATACTTTTGGATCAAAGTAGTGGTTTCAGAAATTTCTTAGCTAGAAAGTCTCACACCTGGAAATACATATCCATACCTAAAGAAAGAAATCAAAGCCCAGAGGAAGAAATGACTCTCACTCTGGAGGACAAAGCTAGAGTAAGAGTCATCTCTCTCACCAGCAGAGAGGCATGACCTCAAACCAGAGTAACTCCCAACCTGGCTGTCTCACAGCGTTATCATATGTCAATCTTTTCAGGGTCAGTGACTGGCAATAACATCCTAAGAATTCTCTAGTTTCCTAACTGTCTCTGACACTTATGAATAAATATCTCCTTGTCTAACCTTGCCACATTTATCAAGGATGTGGGCTGCAGGAAAGAAGCATTAAAGCTTTCGGATGCTCAGAAATATATCATATGTGTTAAGTACAGTTCATTAATGAGGTGACCAGCCAGCTGTAATCAAATTTGCTCCTTGCAATATGCTTACAATAAAATCATTAATTCTTTTAAGAATCTCTTATTAGCCAATCTCAAGAACCATCTTCAGACTTCATCTTTCAAACACACCACTTTCAGCACAAAGGGTCTCCTGAGAATACTTTTTTTCTCCATTTCTCTGATAATATCCTTTCCTAGTTCTCCTCCCACTGCTTTGATCTTTACTACATCGAATTGTCATTTCTTCTGCAGGATTCTTACAGGAGTTTTGTAGACCTTTGACAACAGTCTTTTTATTATTATTCCCCTCTACATTTTGTATCCAGGTTACATTATTCATAGCTGCACATTCCACTACCATTCACCAGCTACCATTGATGATTCACAGACTCATGTGTTTATTGCAAACCTGAAACTTGTCCAAACTTTCTGTGGGTGACTGACAATCGGCTCAGTTTCAGTGCCTGAAATCAAACTTCCTTCTTCCCAACAAAACAAAACAAAAAAAAAAGCACAAACCCCGACGAAAGCCAGACAACAATTACACTGGTTTATTCTTCCCTTGTACGTCACGATCTGATATTTTATGCAGCTGGGCAAACGCCTTCATTTTACGATAACGCGCGCAGCAACCGCAGCCAGGGATCCTTCGGGCTCCAGCGCTCTTGGCAGAGGCCGGTGGGTACCGCACGCACCGGGGACCGGCGCCTCGCACCGGCTGCTCCTCCAGGGAAAGTCCCTACGTTTAATTTCTGAACTGCCCTTGGTGCAGGGGACTCGTTCGCTCCGGGAATGCAGCTCTGGGAAGCAAAGCAAGGGATGGGGGGCTCCGGGACGGGCAGCGCGGGGCCGGCGCCGCCCACGCTCCGCCAGCGCCACCTGCCGGCACAGCCCGGGGGCCGGAAAACGGCCTAAACCCCACAAAAACAGAATAAGAAAATAACGAGAAGTGAATATAATTATAATTATAATAAAATAGTGACGATGGTGATAATAAAAATAGTGACCAACAACCCAGAGTCAGACCAGAGCAAGAACTTAATGTCCATGCCCCGTCCCGGCCCCGGCGTGCCCCTGTGCCGAGGAGCGGCGTTGCCATCTTTTCTCTCACTGATGGAATCGAAGTGAACCGTAAAGTCTCTCAGTGTTCCCTCAACCCAGAATTTCTGCGTTAAGCAGTGTTTAAAGCTCAAATAACACCTCTGGCGCAGGGTGTTTCAGCAAAACATCACTGTGAAGCTGGTGAGACACTGAAACACATTGCTCAGATGTTGTGGGTGACTCATCCCTGGATGTGTTCAAGGCCAGGTTGGATGGGGCTCTGAGCAACCTGGTCTAGTGGAAAGTGTCCAGTCCTTGAAGTTCTGTCCAACTCAAACCATTCTATGAAAATCTGTGGCCAAAGGCCCCCATCCTCACACTGTCACAGCCAGAAGAGGGCCAGCTCTGACACTGGAGGGAAATGTAGAAACAACCTGGAAACTTCTACTGGAGAGGGAGAAACAAAGATAAGAAATGAAGCTATTGAAATGGCTAAGAAAATCTCTAATAAAAAAATAAACAAGAAAATGTGGACAGTAACATAGCAAAGTATCATATATGCACACATTCACTCCATAAGCAGTGAAATCAAGACAAATCATTGCTATGTATTTGATTTTTTAAATATATATATAATTACACATGCCAATGTGCTGTAATTGAAATATGGTTTGCAAGTTGCTCAAATAAATAGTTAGAACTTTTCCCTCAAACAGAACAATTCAGCTGTAATGCCTTTATCTTGAAAAGCAAAACGTAATTTTCAATTTTATACATTAACTTTTAATATAGAATGATAATACAATTTATTACATGAATGATACTATGAGTGAAAATAAAATTTAGAATTATTTCCTTTTTTATATATAAAACTGAAAATCCTCAAGTACCAATTCCATTAAGGAACACCAACTTAAAAATCCTTTGATAATTTTAGTTTCAATTTTATTACTCATCTTTTGTGAATTTTTCTCTTCTCTAGGAGGTTTTATTACTATTGGAGTCTCAGTGCAGATTTTACTTGACATCAATTTTTAGGTAAGCATTTCAAGACTTATCCCTGATTTCTCTGCATCTGGTAGGAAAAGATTTTGATTTCTGCATCATGAATAAGCAGCAGTAGCACTTTTCTCTGTTTATCCCTCATACAACAAGCATAGACCACTGATAGAGTAAAACTTATCCAGTCATCCCTTTCATTATTCAGCAGTAATTGCAGCATTTATTTTAGCACTTAAAATTAAACAACCACTGCATCACCCAAATACATAGTCCCATTGGGATTTAAGACCATAATAAGAATTCTGAACATCATCAATGAATGAATTATACTCTTACTGTTATTAAATTTATAGTATTTTTAATAATCATGTCAAGCAATGAAGAGTACATGCATTTTAAGCAGTAGCACTGAGAACACAATGAGTTTAATGTTGCACATTGGGATGATTTTACCCCTGTAAGCCCACAGCAGGACAGCATCCTGGGCAGCACTGTTTGTGCACATTACTTCATTTCTTTCCCAGGCTGGACACTGTGATTTGGTTGAAGTAGTCTGGCAAAGCTCTTTCCACTGTCACCCAGCACCCAACAAGACCCAGAGCCACCAGCTAAAGACAGACCTTCTGCCTGCTTCTGCTGTGAAAAAGAGTTGGAAAAACATGATATTCATACTTTTAACTAACTGAGCCAATTGCAAAATCATTTTGTATAAATTACCATCTGCTGGCAATACAGTTAGCTCAATTGACCCTAACTGAAAATTTGCAACTGGATGTGTTTCTGTGGACAGGGTTGGATGGTTGCTTTTATAATTGATTTTAAGTCAAAGGTTCTCTGCAGAACTGCCACGTGCACAGCACTGCAGCACATCTGGAACATTAGGATAAATTCCAGATACATATCTATATTATCTCTTTTACTAAAGGGATACTAAAAAAAAAAAAAAGAAAAAGCAAAACAGTTGTAAAAGCTACTAGACCTTTAAGTTAAGGCATCATGAAAAACACAAGCAACATCTCCATCTACTAACACAGTTCATTGCAAATGCAGGACTGTGAGATATGAAATCTTAATTTGCACAGGCACTACTATCAGAATTTGGGGAGTAACACATTAGTTGTTTTACAAGCCAACAGATCACATTACTGGCACATTACACTGGCATTTGTTTTACATCTTGGTGGTGAAAAAGGCTAAGGGATTAAATATTGTACCTGTAGCCCAATCAGCCACTTCATACACCATCACGTGGACTTTCTTTTTTCTGAGTTTTCATTTGCAGTGTGAAAAATTTGTGCAAAATTGTTCCTCTCAATATCCTACACATACTTTATCAATGCTGTGATCTATGTATGCATTGTAAACATTAGAAGAAAAATACTTATGAATTAAAATCAAACAATAAATATTGTATCCAGAAAACATTTTTAAAACAAAACTATATGTTAATTGTATGCTAAAACTCCTCTTAATTAAGAACTAAACCAACACATATTAAAAGGCACTTCAACTGATAGTGCATCAGCCAAAATTAGTTGATTACGTGGCTTTAAACAGCAGCGAGGCTGCTCTACTGATCTAAATCTGAATGCTGAACTGCTGAACCCATTTTCTAGGATAAATTTAGCTGTTCTTTCGTGTTCCACTTTCCTTTGGTACTTGGATGCAGTGTATAATTATACCAGTGCAGTTAGATAGCACTTTCCATCTGAATGTCTCAACACGCTTTTCAGATTTAATTACTCTGGGCTTGGAAACCCTTAATGACGTAGATACTAATAGTCAAATTTAATAGAGAAGTAAACAGAGTCAATGAAAAGGGGAGTACCCAGCAAAGTACTGAAATGAAGCCTCAGTCTCCTGAAATCTATTTTTTGTTGCCACTTTGCTTTTGGAGACATATGAAATCAAGATGCTCTTCAAGTTTAGCTTCTGGACATACTAGGAAATACCTTGCTTTTGGCAATGGTAAGTGGCTTGACACTGACTTTACTTGTAAACCCTAGTAAAATCCAGACACTAAATAATTCCTCATTGTCCTTGCAAGTATTTTAACCCATTTACATTCCCAGTGGATCTCTAACAAGTAAGTCCAGGCCTGGGAAAAGGCACAGTGGCATCCTTCCCACTCCTTCTAAACAGTCAGCATTGCTTGGTACTAGGAGTTAAGCACTTACACAGAACATGAGGCCAAGCTCCATCTTTTGTCAGCATGAGAGTAAACTCACACCGTGCACTTTTGTGGACAGTGTCCTTTCATTTCACTTTATATCTTTCCTTTTCAAGCTATTTTTCTTAGCAGAAAATAGACAAAATTAGGGTGTTTTTCTGAAATCTAGTAAAGTCCCTTTAGCATTAGTTCTTGGCTGTAAATGCCAAATGAGATACTTATATAATAAAAAAAGGTTTTATACATACATTCTCAAACTATTTCACCAAGTAAACAAACAATATACTTGAGAGACTGTAAATCTCACTGGTTTTGCTCAAATTTCCTTATCAGCTGGCTACCTTGGAGTTTGAATGTAAGGGAAAATAAACCCCACATGCTCATTTTTACACATGATATTTTACCTCATTTTTTACCCTAGAGAATTCCTAAAATGTAACATAAACTTAAGAAATGGAGAACCCCTATCTGCTCAGCCCTAACAGCTGAGGACAACACCTTGCACTGTGTTAGCACCTTGGTTTATTGGGAGGACTGAAAATTGCATCTCTGGCACCTGGAGCCTTGACACTGGCTAGTCAAGATCAGGAAGCCGGTTTGATTTTCAGATCTGTTTTTCTGGGCTGTGGGACTTTCATTCAGAGAACATGGCTCAAATGCAGAATAGATGCTGTCCATAACAGCCATGCCCAAGCTAAGAGATGAACTGAACACACTGGCAGCTATTAATGCTACACACTGCTTGTGTTAACAAGCCCAGCTCAAAGGCAGAGCTTATTAGGTGGAATCCAGGAACATGAAAAGAAAGGATAGCTGCATAGCTATGTGCTGTATTAAGTGATAAATCAGCCATGCAGAAAGAGAGCAGAGAGGTAAAATGCTTACTAGCATTTCCCTTGCCTATCTAGGTTACTATAAAGTATTCACTACTTATTTGTCGGCCAAAGCTCTAATTCTTTTTTAATGCCTAGGAACACATAATGAAGTAAAACAGCTAATTGATTGCTAACATATGAGTGGCACCATGTGTTGCTCATGTGTACCTATATCGTTCTTGGATACTACTTACAAAGAAGTAAATGCAATGCAAGAAAAAGGAATCCAGAACACATCCCCCTGCTCACCCTGAACAGCACTTGCCTCTTTAAACTATCTTGCGTTTTTCAAGCAGTGTGGGCTGTCACCAACACAGAACGCATAGAGGTCATACAACTGGAAGGATTCAGAGGCACAGAAGAATAGAATTGCAAGGAGAATGTCTCCATGGCAGTTATATTCCTCCAGCATGTGTTTCCACAATGCAGGAATGCTAACTCCTCCTCCTTGAGTACAACCATACAATGAGGGTGTACTTGTTTACAGGATCAATTGCATCCTGATGTTCTCAGACAAGCCCAACCAGCTACTTCCTCTAGCTCACGGTTCTAGTTAAGAGTAGGGGTAGCTCAGAAGAGAAAGCATCGATTCCCCACAGACATTGCTAAGGTTGTGAAAAAAATGTAATCTAAGAAGACCCTTGTAGTGATTATACAGTCATTGTTCCAGGTCTGGCTTTCTCTTTGCTATTATTGTTTCTATCAAGTGCAGATGGTTAACTACCAATTGTTTGGATCCCTGGATTATCATTTCAAATCCTGAATATAATATCATTGCAGGAATACATGAAGAGATATAAGAAAACTGAGTATACTTATAGATGCCCTTAATTCAATAGCACTCAGCTTATCCTTTGAATTTTGTTGGGCATGTATACCTATAATGTTCCTCCCTTATAGCCATGCAAGTAATTGTTAGTGACAAAGATTAATCTTATTACTGGCTTCCTTCATGTTAGGATGAAGAAGCATTGGGAGATATACAGAATGTTTAATGATGCATGTGGCATGAAAGGGAAACTATGTAATTTACTGGGAAAGACACCAAAGGAAAGAGAGATCAAGCGACACATCACTGCTCCTCTTTCAAGAAAAAAAAAAGGAAGAATAATTTTTATTTTTTTTTTTAATTTCCTGGTGCACAGTTCATCTCCCAACTAAAAATTCTGCAGTAGAAAAATTGGCATTGTTCTAAAATATGTGCTTGAATAGTGAGAGTAATATAAAACAACATAAACTTACATTCTTTTTGCATTCTGGTATCCCATATTTGAGAGTGAGGTATAGTTTGCTACAAGCATAGCTCATGGATCAAACGTTGTTAGCAGCAGTTTGTGCAAACTGAACATGTTTCAGGACCAGTGAACATTATCTATAAAAAGGATGTGAGGTAGATACTGCTATATCTCAAACTGTTCACACACTTCTGAGTGCTAAAGATACTTGTGAGTGCAAAGAGGACATTCAACATTTAATAATATGGGGGTAGAAACAAAACCAGTCTGAACCCTGCATGAAGTCCAGAATGGAATTAGCTATGGAAACCATGGTGAAAGTAAGCTGCTACCTGAGCTGTCCTGCAGAACTCTGCCCTCACACTCTGCAAAATGAGCTGCAGGACCCAGGGAAACTTCCTAAGCATCCCTCAAGCCTGCCCAATTAGACCAGTCTGCAAGGACTGTAACAGAGTGTCTCATCTTTTAAAGGAGGGAACAGAACCTCAGGTAGTATAAATTACTCTTGTCACTTCAATTCCACTGCCTACTTAAACCAATTTACACCGTTTGCCTTAGTGAGCAAAGGAGAAATTGGCCTGGGAACAGGTATTATGCTGTATTTGCAGATTAAAACCTCTTCTTCTCATGACAGAACTGGGCTTGTAATATGTAACACATTTTGTCTCTGATCTAGCTTAGACAGTTTGTGACAGATGTGTTTTTTAAATATGTAATAACACTATTCACTGTGAAAACTATATAAGCAACCTTCACAGAGTTAGGAGACAACAGATATTTCCTGTCCTAAGTAACAGTTTTGTTTAAATACAGTATTTCCTTGGCAAAATGAGAATCTTTTAAGTATTCACTTCAAAGTAATTAATACTAGAGTTATACATTTAGAAATGGAGTAAATGGAAATTTCCACTGTGAAGAAGTCATGTCTTCTAATGCCCACTCAATACTATTTCTGATAGTACCCACTACGTATCTGTAGAAGCCATCTTATTCAAGCATTAAGTCATGTTTGCTAGGATAAGTGTGATGAAGTGTTATCACAAGTATAACATCTACTTTCTGGATTATTAACTTCTGTGAGCTCAAAGTATTTGTTTTTAAAGAAAAAAAAGGCAAATTAAAACAAATTGAAAAGGCAAAGAAGGTATTTCCAAATGCTTTGAATTTAGAATAAAACACTGACTGCTTTTCCAATATAAAGTCAATGTGTTAGCATTATCACAGGCTAATTATATTATGGACATACCACAGTGTGATTTGTTTTTTTTCTTCCTCTTTTGTTATTGACATACAAGCTTTCTTTCCCTCATAGATTTGATAAACTTTTCCTGGAGACATTTTTCTCCCTATGCCTGCACTGAACATCACTATGACTCCACAGCAGTGAAGTAACTGATATAGTGACTATAGTAACTGATAGAGTGACTATTGTAAAGAGTTCGTTGTCATGTTAGATTTCATTTCAGAGTCGACCTCAAGTAGTTTCTGTGCTGAGATGCTTTGTGTGTCCACAGTTACAGCTAGGCATGAGTATTTAGAAATGCTGATAAACAGGCACCTTATGTAAACAAAAGGCAAAGCACTTTGTACAGACTTTGTACTGATACTAATCCTTTCCATTACTGTGCTACAGAGTTTGAAGCCAGAAGGGACCACCTAAGTCATGCAAAGGATTGAAAAGAGTTGAAGGGGAGCAAATGAAGAGAGAAATACACACCTGGATGCAAAGTATCATCAACAGTGTCTCAGAGCTGACATGCCCAGAAACCTAATGCCAGAGGCTGGGGAAAGGCAGGGAGACAGCTACTGCACAGTGCAGACACCTTTTGTTAGCTGGAATGGTAATGCTGCAGCATTCCCTCTTCCTGGACTGACACAGAAATGCACATTTTCACTGCATATGCAGTGCATAAACCACCATTTTAACATATAATGTAGAAGTTTCCCATACGTTAGTCCCATATTTATATACTGCCTGAAATTCGCAAATATTTCTTGTGTTATATATACCAGTGTTGTATATTTTATCAAACTATCAGATGTTGAACTGCCTTAACTTCTACAACCTTTGTGAAGACCCTCCTTTTCTGGACACAGTTCCTACTCTCCACTTCATCTTTTTCTCCTGGAGGAACACATTTATATTGGGCCATATTGACTCCAAAAAACCACACTAGATCCAGTCTGAAGTAAAACCTTTAAATTGCAGATATTGTACATAGGGTAACAGTTAACTTCAGTCTGCTCATCTGCTTCTAGTGCACCTTCAGCAACTGAATACAGGATCATGATCTCCATTTCTGGATGACTGGAGAACTGGTATTAGGTTCACCAAGTCAATTTGTTCATTTTTATGAATCACAAAAAGAAGAAAGTAGAGGGTCCAGCAGAGGACTATGAAGCTGATCAGAGGACTGAAGAATCTCTCTCATGAGCAAAGGCTGAGGGAACTGGGCTTGTTCAGCCTGGCAAAGAGACAGAGGGGATCTGATCAGTACATATATAGGTGTCTTAAGACTGGGTGTCAAGAGGATGGGGCCAGACTCTTCAGAGGTGCCACAGGTTACAACAGGACAAGGGGCAAAGGGCACAAACTGAAACACAGGAAGTTCAACCTAAACGTAGGGAAAAAATTCTTTACTCTCAGGGTGACAAGCTGCCCAGAGAGGTTGTGGAGTCTTTTTTCTGGAAATGTTAAAAACCCACCTGGACACAACCCTGTGCAACCTGCTCTGGGTGAACCTGCTTTAGCAGGAGTTGGACTAGATGATCTCCATATGCCCCTCCCAAACCCCTCCCAACCCCAACCATTCTGTGACTGTGATTACGTGAAAGTGATTAAGTTGATGAGAATGTTGAATCAATTAAAGTATCTCAGAAATCTAAAGAATCTCAGAAATTATCCTTCTACTGGTACTACACATTACTGAGGCTCAGTTGTTGAGTGTCTATACAAATAAAGGTCTCCAGAGTTATTATTCTTGATATAGTAATTACAACTTAGAGAGGTTAGAAAACAATTTATAGGCTTTAAGGAGCATATGATAGCAAAGAAAAAGTAATTTTATTTTAAAAACCTAGAAGATAGAGAGTAATAGCTGCTGTTTTGATCTGTTAATTTATTCTACCTATCTAAAGCAGGAATTTTATCTTTAACTTACATCAATCCTTCCTACACACATTCACCATGAAAACTTAACAAGAAAATTAATTGAACTGGAACATGCAGACAAATTAAAAAGAATCACTAAATTCACTACAGTGGCTGATGAGGCCATCATCAATAGAAGATACTAATGAAGAAATATTTCTTGCAAAAATATCCATCATCCTGAAATTGCTCTGGAATAAAAGAAACACTGGTGGTTTTCTTCTGAACCATTTATTTCTAATTTCAACAAGCTTGAAAAAAAAAAAAGATTTTCCTGCTTCTTTCCAATAAAAGTGATTATTCAAAAGGAAGAGCAAAATTGGACACTACAAAGGCGTACTTGAGGCAAAGCAGTCTTTTACCACATCTAGTACTTTGATATACCTGCCTCATTCAGGCTAAAATGTAGTAAAGTTACCAGATCCTCAGTGCTAGAAAAGAAGATGAAAAAAAATTACAACACTTATAATTTGAAGCTGATGCAATAAATTCAAGTAGCTTTACTTTGAGGCTTCATATTGCCAAAAAACCAGAAAAATAAATAAAAATAGCATCCTCATTAATGGTCTGGATCGTTTACTCATGTCTTTACAGTTGAAGGCACTTTTGCTGTTCTCTCTTGTAGGGAAGTGGGACCAGATCCATCCCCTGCCAGTAACAACAGCTCACGAGAACTCAGCAGTTGTGTCCAGCAGCATCCTTAATACCTCACCAGGTACGTGGGGAAAATAAAATACACAGAAATAGTAAATCCCAACCCTCCTTGAGGCAATTACTTCCCAGGTGAACACATTTTACTTCCAAGATATTTTCCTTATGGTCAGTTTGGATCCTCACTGCTGTGATTCCACTCCCCTTGCTCGGGTCGGCCCATGGTGTTACCCTGAACACACATCAGTCATTTTCACATGTGCACCACAGCACTTTCCAACACCTTAACTCCTCCCTGAAAATATATTTTACCTCTGGTACTTTGTATACATTTTTTAAACCTCTGCTCCGAAATCAACATGATTTTGTAATGTTGTTTCTGTTGTTATTATTATTATTATTGAAATCTTTCTCAGCAGTGCTTTACTTCTTCCTACACTGTAATTCAGAATATTAATAATTTCCTTTATCAACCTGCATTTTACTGAGCTGAATCTCTTCTTTTTTCTTTCTTTTGGTTTTTCCTTTTTATTTATTTACTGGTTTTGTTCAGTGAAGCCTCTCTCTGCCCCTCTGTGGTTTTGTACCTTCAATGGTATTTGAAACCAAACTTAGTATCCTACGCAAATTTAATGAACATTCTGACTGTCTCCTTCCAGATCATTAAAGATGATGTTAATCGAGGCCAAACTTCAAATCTGCCCAGTGATACTTCATTAGACACTTCTTCACAGTTTAATATAACTGGTCAAATTTATTCTTGTTATTAAAAAAGGATAATTTCAATGAATTTAAAAACTCGCATCAATGTATGGAAGCAATGACTTTGGCCCATTGCCCTGTGTCTTTAGCCTGTATTTGCAGCCAAGTACTCAATTTACAACATTTCCCATTCAAACATAACCTGAGCCCCACATGATGCTCTCCTATTTAAGAGCCTTGATGGTTTTTGCTTTATAAACTGACTCAACACCTTTAACTGTAACCTCAAGGCCCTTCTAAAGCCCTGCAGTCACGAGAGCCAGCACAGCTTTATGATGGGTCCCATCTCCTTCCTCCAGTTCAGCCCATTGTCTGAAAGTTTCATATGATGCCTCCTGCTTTTCCCAATGGAACAAACAGGCTGGTCTTATCCCATTTGTAGTGTGCACAGATGCTGGATGGATGTGGCCTCTCAAGCAAGCAGTTAGAAGGGACCTACTGCTTTGGAATTAGCATGTATTGCAAAGATCAAGTGAGGTGCAAAATGTAGTGGGAGAAGATGGCAATATATTCTAAGTTCGGAAAACAAATCTTCAAGGTCCCTCCCAACCCAAACCATTCTACGGTTCTGTGGTTCACAGTCTTTCTCCTCACTTCTGCCCATGTACTGCTTTTCACTTTACTTCTTTGATGACTATAAATTATGTACTCCAGGCCAAACACTAAAGACCAGTAGTGTCAAGAGAACAAAAGACAATGACATAGGTCTCTTTCCTTTTCCTTCAAGAAAAGCATTTTGTCCATTGTCAACATGGTAATGCACAAAGCATGCCAGGGCAGCAAATGGAGCTTTCACAGAAACAGTGGATAATTTTTTCATGTCCATGATCATAAGGGAAAATGGTTATTCAATATGAAGTGAAATACAGAGTAGATTTGCAGATGGAAGAACCAGCTGTAGTTCTGAGCAGTCATGGTATCTGTTTGAATTAAAAGCAGTGAAGTTCTAAAGTGCAGAGAGTTCCACTAACCACCAATTAAATAGTTCTGCTAGAGGGAAAAGGAAAATGAGGAATGAAATATAAAACATCACCCATGCCCTTTGTTACACAGAGACATTCATTTCTTGTACAATGAAAAGAGATCTATCTCAGTGCAAAGCCGCTGTCCAGCCCATTTGCAATTATTTTGTGGCTTCTTTTGTAAATACAAAAAGGAGTAGCTTTTTTGGGGAAAAACGCCCTTTCACAAAGTCTATAAGCTTCCTGTACATACCATGGGAGCTGCATCTCTTTTGTAATAGTTTACAACCTGTGTCACTAAAGGAAGCTTTAAGTGCCAAGTAAAGTAAATTCCTTTTGTTAACCCATTTCCCGAGGAGTTTCACACTTAGCTTCAATGCTCGAGGCCTTCGATTTCCTGCACATCAATTTTTGGACTGGTCTGTTAGTAGCACAGCAACCCTTCACCCCCTCAGATCCACAACTAATTGCTTGGAGCCAATACAGAGATACATTTACATTATTTTTCTATCTCATTTCTAATATTTTTAATATTTTTGTCCTCTATGTTAATGAGTTCAGGGTTGGCCCCTAAACACTTAGCCTTGTATTTCCCAGTCAAATTAACTACCAATTAGTGATAATTGGATCTGGCAATATTTTTGTTGATGGACACAAATGTACTGTGAGACAGAATGAGAGTACTAATTAAATTTATATAGGTCATTTCTGCCTGCCAGTTTTTCTTTGAACTCTAGATGTGTCCACATTATTCTTACCTCAAATTAGATTGGTCAGAACCTATTTATTCTCAAATGTAAAACTGGACAGTACAGTTAAAAGTGCTTTAGTTAAATGTGAACAAATATTGACTTTGTACATGTGGGTGGTCCATTGTTGGGTGGAATCTCTTTTTTTTTTTGGACATCTATTCAGCAAGTCAGTGCTTAAGGATGGAACTACCTGAGTCTGTTTCCAGGGCCTTTCATTTCTCAGTTCCTCTGCAGGCTGCTGCAGCATTTGAACTGCAAAGACTTCAAGGTTTAAATCAAACTAAATAGTGAGAAGGGAAAAAAGCTTTAATTGCTAGTTTGAGAGATTCTATACAAACATTTCTACTGGGCTTTCAAAAGCTAAACAAACCCCTAAAATTTAAACACTTTTAACAGTTATTGTGCTTTTGCTTAACACAAGCGAAAGAATGAACGTACCAGACCTCAGAGACCCCAAAATACTTTTTAAAAAGACTAAAATGTAGCCTGTCATTTTTCACTGAGAAATTTTAGAAGCTGTTTTAAGAGGATATACCCCTAGTTCTGGGGAGTTCTTGCTATTAGTATATTTTACATGTGTTTCTCCAATGTGAAGTTGTTCCTCCCTAGTTAAATTCTAAATCAGGAGGCCTTTCCAGGCTCTTGATGTATTTTTTTTCTTTCAGTGAAACATTAAAGTCTTTCTTAGGACAACAGAGTTGAAACAGTCTTTCAAACCTTTTCAGCAATCAAATTGAAGGTAATTTTCACCTTTTTAATCAGGCTACCAATAAAGGTCATGAAAGAATCCTAGCAAAAAGTAAATTTTATTTATTATTTTTAATAAAATCAATTAAAAATCAAAAACCATATTAATGTCATTAAGATTTTAGCTGATTACTGAGTTTTGCCCTAATATTGTGCAACCTGGAAAATATATGCCCAAAAAGGCTTTATAGACTCCAATTATGAATTTACTTTCAAAAAGTAGAAGTGACTCTGCTAGCTGCCACGGAAGTTAACACCATAACCACAATAAAATGCAATAAAAATGTTATTATCTATATGATAATTTATTGGATGTCATATCTTTTTCTCTTCAGCCATTTCGATAAGTGACTTCTTTCTGGAAGTAAATAGCCTTAATATTGGAAGTCTGACAACTATCATCATACTTTAACACTCTCTAGAATGAAAGAATAAAATCTCATGCTTGTAAGTCAAAGAACAGGTATGTGAAATAGTAATTCAATATAAAGGTTGAGAATTTTTTAATTATTTTGAACTGTGAGAATCTATTTCAATTCTGCTTTTATATTTGGTAGAGGATAAGGAAATGTGCAAGTCCTTGATTTCCTCTGCAGTGAATTCCACTTTGTCACTTCAGAGGTCCAAGTGACACCATCATGATGAGGATGGGCCAGAACCTCGACCATGAAATTTCCCAGTAGAAAAAAAAAATACTTGATAAAAACTGGTTGGGTTTTTTTTTTTGTTTGGTTTTTCTTTGTTTGTTTGTTTTTTCTGTAAGTGGTGATTTTGTTCGGGCAAAAATAGGAAAATCTGAAAGTGATTCATTTCACTTGTCCTTTCTTTTACTACTGTATAAAAGTTTCATTGTCCTTTATTTTTAACTTTTGACATCAAATATATATATATTACATGTGAGGTTCTGAAAATTTATTTTCATTCACAGGAAGTTTTAAAGGCTTAGAAACTCTGTGAATGAAATACACATGTAAAGATCTTGATTTCTTAGCAACTTTAACAAGGATATAGGCATAGAGTTAGGTGACAGTCAACTCTACAGTTTTCTCCTGCTCCTCCTCCAGGAAAACTGGATTTGTATTTTGCTGTTCCTTCAGTGACTATATGGAGCTGACAAAGTAATTTGATTTGTTTAAGAACATCTATCAACAGAGATGATGGAGTCACAGATAAACTATAACAACACCCTACAGAATTTACAATGCAAACTGATGTGCATGAATCACAGAAGATACGAAGTGCAGCAAAACAATTGTTGAGTGATGAAAATGTAATCGATGTTTTGCTTTAATTAATTTAAAGCTTTTTATGTCGTGTCATTCATGCTTTCCCTGGCAAAAAAAAAATTCAAGTGCCCAAATTTTCTTTTTCTGTTTCCTTTTTTTCTTAGAAAAAAAAAGTCTTTCCTGATATACTGTTCATTATTTATGTGTTACAACATGCATGGCTAAATCAGCCTGTACTCAGCAAAAAACAGTATAAGAAAGAAGAAAGTGGGGATTTTTGTTTGTTTATTTGTTAATTTTAAACATATAAGATTTTAGTTCTATACATATATCATTTATACATCTGTATTAAACTCCTGGATGAAACCCAGTCCACCCACATTTCAGATTCTGCTTCACTGTAACTTTGTAAATCTGTACTTACTAGGATGGGACAGGAGATCTGGCCAACCTAACATTTCTGCCAGAAGTCATTCCACACACAAACAAAAAGAGATGGGCAGCCAAAGACCTCTTGAAGGAAATCCACCTTTATGGAATGTTAATTCCTTGATACACTGTCTGCACTGTCATCTCTAGAGAGCTGAACATTTTACTCGTAGGAACTGTGCTTGCCTGCACTGAGAGTATGCCTCCCTGCTCATTTGGGATGCAGCCTGCTCAGTGATCTTTAGAAGGACAAACCCAGATATCCCATGACTGCCCCATCCTACTGTTTATGGTTTACCTCAAGTAAAGGCACTTTCTAGTCCTGTTCTTGTGGGTGGGAACAGTCACAGTCATACATCCAGGAGACATGGGGCAAAGCAAATACAGTCAAACTAGAACCCATTTTTAACCTAGCAATTATGCTAAGCATCCAGGTGGAAAGACAAAGCTCTGGACCAGAAGGAATCCCACACTTTTTTTGGTTTGTTATCCAACCTAATGAGAGATACTGAATCTCCTTAAAAGCCTTCCATAACTTGTTTTTGTTGGCAACAATCATCCATGATTGTTGAAAATAATCATCCATGCCAGGAAAGGTTGTGGAGTCTCCATTGTTGGAGATATTCAGAAGCCATCTGGCCATGGTCCTGGTCAATTGGCTCTAGGTGGCCCTGCTTGATCAGGGAGGTTGGACCAGATAATCTCCAGAGGTCACTTCCAATGCCAGCCATTCTATGCTTCTGTGATATCCCCTGGGATGTACATGTCCATCGTACTAATGGATTAGTTGATTACATCAAAAGGGAGAGAACTTAGTTCATGAATACCAAACTCCTTAGCACAGTCTTGATGAGTTCCCTACAAACAAGGTCCAGATGCCTTCAGTTAGTGCAGGAAAACCTTGGGAAATTAAAAATTTATTTCCTAGGAAAAAGACCTATAAAAATGAGAGGCAATAGCATGTTACTTTACTGTTTTCATTCTGAAGGATCACAAAGTTTTCAAAAAATAGACAAAAATCTGAAAACAAAGCACAGCAAAACAGATGTCACTGCAAAATTAAGGCTCCACAAGCAAATACCCAAAAGTACTAAAATGCAAACCTAAGTATAAGCATGTCACTTTACAACCACCCTCAGTGAATACCTCTGATGCATAATACATTTTCACTCAACACTTAATTAGCTGTTGGAACTCATTGCACCAAATTAACATTGAATTAAAACCTTGGCATAATTCCAAAACATATCGGGCATTCCTGTGTAAGTATTGACATGGTCTATTCAGCAGCAATATCCCACTAAAGCATCCTGGAAAATATTATTATTCTTCCAGCGTATGAAAATCCAAACATAGTGCAAACTAAAAGGCCTCACCCAAAGTCAAACAGGAAACCTCCGGAAGAGTGAGGAGTTCTCAAAATTTCTAAGGGGTAACAAATAAACACAAAGCTTTCTGTCACCATGCATAAAGAAACTTCTTTTAACCACATCCTTCGACACTACTGCCACTGAGGGTGCAGGGACACTCATTACATGAACCTCCAAAACACTGGTTGCCGTGTGGGAAGTGCTGAGGAGAGGTTTGCAACTGGGTTTCATAACCTCATGGCCATTTTGTCTATTCTCAGAAACATCACCCTGAAGGAGAGCACTTTCATGAAACCCTAGTTTACCCTTGCTTGCCCCATTAGATGGGCAGCCTCTGACTCCAACCTTGCTTTCAGCTCTGCACTGCACCCATCTCCTTCTCATGCACAGACTCAGGGACCATATGGAACGGGCGGCTTTCCCTAAAGGACAGCGTCACACTAGGACTTGGCACAAGTGCTGCAATGGCACAGTTGAATAGCTTGTGATGAGCTCAACCTTTCCTCTTAAAAATAAAATGCATTTTTGTTCAATATAAATTAAATTAAGGATGAACCAAAGCAGGACTGTTTTGCTGAGTGTGGAGAGGAGAGCTGCTGTGGGGCAGCTCAGTAAAGTCTGCATCAAGAAACAACGGGCATGTCCCCAGAAAGACACCTCTGCTATCATCTAGGAGCTTCAGTCTGGAACCTAAAGCTGAGCTTACTGTGGTATAAGCAACTTTGCACTAAAGTACTTTTTTCTATTCATAACATCAGAAAATGTTTATTTTTAAATGGAAAAACTTCAAGTTCAAGCATTTGGAAATCAAAATCAATCTATGCATTCTTTTAAGCTTTATTTGTAGCTGTTTCAAGGATTATTTCTATGTAAAGTTCTCTCTAGTCACTGAATGACCTATATCCATTTCCCAGAGATTAGTAATGAAAGTTCTAATGCCATTAGCCATGCACACTTCAATTGTGAGGGCTATGGAATTTATAGCATCTACATCTATTTTCAGTTTTCCAGAATAAATGTCCAACATACCCTCAGAAATAATACTGTTCTTTTTATAGAGACAGGAAAAAAAACAAGCAACAAAAACCAACAAAACAACCCCCACAAGCAATATAGTCCAATTTACAACTGAAAATCAATCATTATTAAAACTGGTAACAGCATGAAAAATAAAGGATGATTTGGAGGTTCTTTGAGCAAACCGTATAATAAAGGCAACCTATAATTAAAAAGACTTATTAAGAAATGATCAACAAAGCAAGTAAATTTTACTTAAGCCAACCAGCCATTAATCTTTTTCTATTCTGCTTGGTCTGAGCTCAGGGTCTGACAAAAATAATTCTACAGAAACAGAAGGAGATAAGGATGATTATTTATCTGTACAGTGAACTAAATCTAAATACTCCAATCTGACAAATAATATTCGACTTTTATTCTTGGATTATAACACATTATTCCAAAAAGCTCACCCCCTCCCTGCAATCCTATTTCCCATCTGCACTCACCTGCAACACTGCTGAGATAGTAACTTGCTACTAAACTGCCTTTTCCCTTTCCATGGATTATACCAGACCACTTAAATTTTCTTGATTTCTCTAATATTTTCATTCAGAGTTTGAAACTACTCATCATAAAAAATATTTCATTGTATTGTTAATTACATTTAATTAAGGAATGCACAAAAAAGTGAATCTATATCAGAAATGTTTCATGCAACAAAATAAGGAAAATCAGAGAGACAAAATAATATATTTAGTATAACATCCCCTATTAGCTTTCTCTTACTGAGGCTGAACAGATCAAGCTGTTTCAGCTCTGCCTGTATGTAATGTGTTTCAGATTAATTTTAGATTAATTTTAATTTCATTTTGCTTATTTGGGTTTTGTAGCAGTCCTAAATAAATGTATGTGCATGTGTGAATACATACATACATACATACACACTTATATATACATATATCTATATACAAACACATGCACACATATATATATACATGCACACAAATTTTAGTCAGGAATAACAGGCTACTCCAACATTAAAAACCAAATGGCATTATAGAACTGCAAGTTGCCACTACGTGAATCATTACATGTTCATGTGTGGAAACAACATTCAAGTTTTCCTTTCAAAGTCTTCTACTTCAGTAGAGGCAACACTGTTAGTCTAGAAAGAACCTCATCCCATAGTAAGAGGCAACACAGAAATGTCCCTCAAAATGGGAAAAAAACTGACCATGAATGACTGTTTAGTTTTATGTCCTAAGTCCTACCACTGAGGGAACAAATTATGTCAATGCTTTTCATGAAATGGCTTTTCTTTGCATCTGGTTGCCCATCCTTTGCAGCACAGGTGGGAAGAGCACTCGGCGGTATCCCTTCTCCGGCTCATTTGTCAGAGCTGGATGGAGCAGCAAGGTGGACAAGCAACACAGAGAAAGGTGATACAGATTTTGCTATCCCCCAATCCCATAGGAAATGCCCTATATTAAGAGATACTTATCCAAGGCATGACTTTCCCCACTGCCCTGAATTCCCATAAGCATTCCCAATCCTGCTGTGATTGTGAAAAGTAACTGTCAAGAAGCCACCACGGACATTCCCAATCAGCAAGGACCCGAGAAAGATACTCAGGGATGATTTTACTCATATTTTCTCACTTTTGGGATGGATGAATAAGGACAAATGAGGCCAAAAGGAAGACAAAAACAAAGCGTCAACTTACTTGTCCCAAAGTGTCACACTGGTTTCCATGTCACACTGGATGGTTCATGTCACATTTGCATGGTTCAGAAGTTATTTTGTGTCACTACATTTGGTGTCTCTTTTCTACAGCTACAACTGAGAAAATATGCAACTGAACTAGAGAACATGCTAAGTTCTCCAGCAAGGTTTGGCACTGCACATAAGACAGCACTCTGGCACCAAGCCGACAGCAGACTATGTTTAACAACTAATGATATACATTACCATAGCCTTGACACTAAAAACACATATCTAGTGCCAGTCATTCTGCTGCCATTTAAATTCACATACGTCTTGGGATGGTTTCCATCCATGCTGGCAGCCAAACTGTAATGAATAAGGAGGCTGCACTTTGCAGATAAATAAAAGCAAATGTGGGATGTACCTAAATGGATTTGACAGATTGTAGGAATAATTTAAAAATATAAGAGTACAACACAGCCATGTTGGCATTATCCGTAATAAGGACAAGAATTCATGAATTACAGACTATTGCTAGACCAGAAAAACAGGACTAAGTACCATAAATGTTCAAGTCCTCCCATTTACACAGCAGTAACATAACAAAGTCCTTGTGCTTCGT